GATACTGGAATATTTCTGTAATTTTTCAAGGCAATGAAGCAGTTGACGATAAAAAAGGACAAAAAAAAAAAAACTCGATATACGCAACAACTCTACGGAACTGTCGGCGGCCTGGTGAGTCTCGGCAAGACAACACAGTGCTGAAATGGAAATTCATCCATTTCAAAACTTTAGATGGTAAGATTTCCTCGAGAAAGAACGAAGTAACAACTGATGCTGTAGAACTACATTTTGATAAGAAAGATTGGGAAGTTGCTCCAGGAGAAGTATTCAACGCAATAGTCGAGTTGGTCGACGAGATAGGGAACACCGTCGTTGGAATTGTGGACATTAATATCGATGTTCTTGAAAATACACTACCAGTTAAACTTACAACTGCATCCACGGTCTTTCTAGCTGACGGACAAATATCTTCTCTAAGTCTGACTGGAAAGCCAAAGAGTGTTTTCACGGTGGTTCTACAATACACGGGGGAAGAATTATTGCACGTTAAAATCGTAAACGTCTCTTTGCAGAATTGCCACGCAGGCTTCATTTATAACAGTTCCGTTCAGAATTGCGTTTGCATGAAATCTCCAGGAATAGCACGGTGTGACTTAAATGATAAAAAGACTGTTTACCTGAAGAAAGGATATTGGGCTGGGAAAGTGGGCGATAATTTCACAACACATCTCTGCCCCGACGGATACTGTACCACTCACAAGTCCATATTTCCTTCTGAGTACAAGTACAACGGAACAGTGTGCCAAAAGGGCAGAAACCAGACGAGTGTACTTTGTGGCCAATGCAAGCGTGGTTACAGTATCATGTTTGTGAGCGAACAATGCTCATCCGATTGCACTGATAAATGGCTATGGATGATTTTTGTCTATGCAATAACACTAATTGTAGTTACTTGCTTCGTGTTGTTGGTTAATCCGAATCTGTCTGGGGGACACCTGAATGCTTGTTTGTACTCATACCAAATCATGAAAATACTAATCCCAGATGGATTTACTTTCGATCCTTTTATTGAATTTCTCATCGGACTGACTAACTTTCAACTTGGAGGTAGACGTGGCGTTTGTTTCGCAGCTGGTTTAAGCAATGTTGACAAGCTGGCCATATCGGCTCTCTTTCCAATCGCTGAAATACTTCTGATATTGCCTTTGTTAAGACGGGTGTTGATTAAAACCTGGAGCAGGGGGTTGGACTTGCTAGTTGATAGACTGAACGACAGAGAGAGTTGTCGTTGTGGTTGTTTCTGTCGAAACGCAGTTGTGAGCTGGCTGGAGTTCTTCTCTGCTTCGTTCAAAGCACGTATAGAGAATGGATTCGACCATGCCTTCTTCACCATCGTAGTGTTGTGCTATGCCGACTTGGCCAACATTGCACTGCGTCTCTTGCATTTCGTGAAGGTTGGTGGGCGGTGGGTGTTGTTTGATGATGGTAATGTTAAATTCTTTGACAGCGTTTTGCACGGTATATTCATAATTGGTGCTATTTTCCTTCTGCTGTTCGTCATTTACATCCCGCTGAGACTTGCAATCCATCCGGAGAAATCAAACTTACGACTTCAAACTCTTCATGCTTGTTTTAAGCCTGGTTATCGCTCTTTTGTGGCTTACTACCTTGTGTGTCGACTGGTGCTGTTACTTATAGGTACTTTTGTACCTAATAGTTCTTTGAGAGCCTCTTTGTTGCAATTCTTTTGCATTCTATTCATGTTTGCCGTCGCAACTGTGAGACCTTACATAGAAAGGAACCATGGTGGCAATGAATACGAGGCCCCACGAGCGACAACTCAGAGTGGTAACTTTACAGAAGGAAGGCAAGTATCTAAAGAGGCAAGTCCGAGCGTCAATGAAACACCAGCCCCTCCACAAGAACTAATTCGTGTAGGTGTGGATGGCGACGAAGTAAAAGAAGAAAAAAGTGAGACCGAAGGAGAACAAAATCCAAGAAGCGCTTCGACAAGAAGTTCCAAACAGGCAGCAAATCATCGCACTGCGCGTAACAATGAAGGAGAAGAGGCAGAGAGGCCTGGTCGCCAAGAAGAAGAGGAAGGACGTCAAAGAAATGCTGGTCAAGAGATAATGGAAAACCTGTACATCTACGAGTCCGACCTAGTGATCTTAGTGACGCTGAGTGCCATTGCAGTTTTCAGTCTTCCTACCGACACTGAAGTATCCGAAACCACTAAACTTAGTCTGCAGTATTGGGTTAGGATTTTGGCATACGTCCCACTGGTGATGGCTTTGGTTCCCTACATCTTTTATTTAATGCGCCTACTACAGCGGTATCGCCATGAGAGAAGGGAACATCATGTCCCTAAGCCACAGGGTGTATCATGTATGTCGCCTTCCCGTTTAATTGAGCAGAGCCCCGCAGTACAAGATGATCGGTCAGATGAGAAAACTCCACTGATAAGAAACAGAGAAGATACAGCTTCTGACCACGGTAGTAGATTTTACACAATCCCCTAGAGCCTTGCATTGTAGACGAGGTACGTCACTATTCCTAAAATACCTAAACACCGCATGCATTCCTTACTTCCCTTTAATCTTTCTGTGTAATCGTTTGAACGCCATTGCACATGAGACAAAGAAATCGAGGAAAGCTGTGAAACACCTTTCTCGAGGGTGAAGAGAATACCTGCATGAGTGTGGTAGATTAAGAGAGAATTCACCGACTCTCTTAATCCGGTTACTGCACACGGCGCTTTCGACAACACTGCTTGCGATCCACGCGGAACTTAACATGCAGGATATTTGTCCCATAAGAGCCTTCAATGAGCAGTTTGGGTCGTAGCTTGCTTCAAAGTTTTCTTACTTGCTGGCGTCGGACTCCGCCTCCCCTCCCCGCTCCTCCCCCTCCCAGCCTACGAAAAAAGTTATCTCTATCAGTCTTACCACGCAGCTGGGGTGTAACATTGTCTAGTAGGGTGGGGGAAAGAATGGTTTATAAATCGAATTGGAATATCTGAAATCATTGTCAAGATCATTATTTCCTTTCAGTTTATTTTTTCAAAGCCTTAACCTTTTCTCCACGGGCAAAAATAAGACATCCTGTGAATTATCTTTACTAATTTTGATATCCTCTTTTGATTCCCTATAGTTGCCAGAGATGAAATTGTACTTAGCTGCGAATTTAGAAGCTGACGTTTCAGTGAGTTGGAATAAAGAAGAATTGAATACTTTCTAACGCAGTTGAAAATAATCATCCCTGACCAAAACCAATGTGACTTTTGACTCTAATTTTGTGCTGATGCTTTTGTTGTATCGGGGACTGTTACAGTCATTTTTTTCTCTAAAATTGTGATTTCACGAAAAAAAACTGTTAGGTGATCAGAATTATTTCATTTGCAATCAGCGATCTATTATAGCAAGCGTGAAACAGTTTCAGACAAAACCTTAATAATGGAATTAATTATAAATTGTCATTATGATGACGAGACTCACCAGAACCCTTATTAGGCTCAAGTGTAGTCAATCGATAAATTTTGATGATTGATTTGTATCCGTAATTATACGAACCCACTAAGTTTAACTGGCATTTCACAGTTTAGTTTAGGATTAAGCAAGAAATTTTCTTACGACTGAAGCTAGGCTGTCCTTTATCTATGATCTGTGACTTGTACTGTTTGGTTGGTTCATCAAGTTTTCTACTTTATTAAAATATAAATTTCCTTTTTATGCTCGTTTTTACAACTTTAGTTGGTCGATCTATGATCAAGGGGCCCTTTTCTTGGTATTCCCATCTGCGTTATACAACTCTTTCTGTTTTGGCGCATTCTTTCAACGATTACCTTAGAAACCTTTCCTGTGTTTGGTTTGTTTCTCCATTAGTGAAATCCAGCGAGAGACACAGTTAACTAAGCGTTCTCTGGTAAAACAAAGATATATCTAATCCTGTCCGATGCTACCGAACACTGAACCGTTATAAGACTCAAGATCAAGTTTGGACGCACTCAAAACAAAACTAGCATGATTGATCCAAAGGGCATCAAGTAAATTAGACAGATTTCTGAGAAATGTTGTCTGACAAAGGATGCAAATTGCGTGGGTGGCTTCGTCACGCAAACTTCCGTTACAAAATCCTGGCATGACAAACTCACATTTTTGGCCGATTAACATCGTTGTTAACAATAATAAAAACTTATTTTCCCCAAATGGACAGCAATTGCATGGCACAAATAGGATAACTGCATCGATAATACAACAGTTAAGATAGCAGATTAAATAGTTAGTATCAATGAATTACTAATCGTGACACTTACCATCTTTCGTGAAAAGCTTCCAAAACAAAATGTACCTCGATATTTCGAGACACTTTTTTAACTTATTGCATTAACAGAATGAAAAAAATTATATCCTTTTCTGAGTCAGTAGAGATTGAAATGAATACATTCCAAATGAATTTTCGTTTTTCACTTCATCCAGAGCTGATTTTAAAGTCGCAATTGTACAACTGATTGCCTGTGATGTTAGTTTTATTTTCAACTGTTCCTTCTAAATGAAAGCCTCTTCAATTAGTTTTGTTAATAGAAATGAATGTAAGTTTCGTATTATCATGTTGAGTTAGTTAAATCGAAAATTACGCTCAAGGCTGCCACTAACTGTTCTACGTACCCAAGTCAGAGTATTGATAGATTTCTCAGAGTGGTTTTAAATACAATTCATAAGAAGCCGTAATTTTCCTTATTTCACTTTTCGGGTTTTCTTTAAAAACATTTCAGAGCTGTCACCCTCTTCAAGCTAGCTACATGTCAGGGGCAAAATAACAACAGTCTTTTGGGTGTTTTACTGAATATGTCGACCTTAGTTACGTCAACCTTAGATCTAAAATACGCATGATCTCATTTCATTAGAATGAACAGAGAGGACGCAGCCGTAGCACATCAAGATCTTTATCACTTTGGACCACATATAAAGATCAAGCCTTGTCAACAACATTAATTTCCTAGAAATGAGAGCTTTTAGCCACAAATATATGGCAGCTGTCCAATCATTCTACTTGGCAGATTTTTAAATCGGGTCCTGAACTCATAAAGCGCATACGAAGAAAGAAGCGAATATGTATATAACTTGAATATGTATATATTTTCACTGAGTGTAAATAACAGTGACTTTCAACCTGTCATTTCATCGCGACTTCCGGCCTTATTACTAGGAAGGCGCTATTGTCACAATACTTCAACTACATGCTCGTACGATACAAGTTGTTCACTCCTTATAAAGGAGCCGTTTAATGTTGGATTATGAGGGTATTTGAACACCAAAAATGTAGAAATAGTTATGAGAATAAGGAACAAAGCTAGAAAAGATTAGAACGGATTACAAATGCCGAATTTGTAACGTTTATGCTAAATTGTACCTTGATCCTTTACGCACCGCCTTTCAGCTGTCTGAACACCTTTCTTAGAACTGATGGGGCATTTACATCTTCATTGTTGACAAAGAGTGGGAAATGAAAGGTTCCTGTTGTATGAACTGTCTCTTTCTATGTTTCTTCCTTCTCCTGCCTTCAGCGGCAGCGTGGAGTAAGGAAATTTTCGTCTCACCGAATGGTAACGACTCGTTGAAATGCGGTGCACGCGATCAGCCTTGCAAGTCCATCGACAAAGCTTTCGACGTAGCTTTGTTTGGCGGTGCTAATTCAACGTTGATCAACGTAAAAAGCGGAAATTACACCATGGCAAAGAGCTTCAACCTCACTAACGTGGATACCTTCGCTCTTGTTGGCGACGAGGACTTTGGATCAGGCAAGGTAAGAATTACTTGCGAGCCAGAAGTAAGCATTTCGTTCGTTCTTTGTGAAAATATTATATTCGAAAGAGTACAGCTGCACAGTTGTGGTGGATGGCGAGAAAGTACCGCGGGAGCAAACGAGTCGGTTCCCATCGGACCCGGCAACCGAGGTGTTCTGTTTAGGACCGTTTTAGACTTTCGATATTGTAGAAACGCGTGGTTCACCAATGTTGAGGTGTCAAACTCGCCAGGGGTTGGAATAAACTTCTTCAATGTTGGAGGCATTTTGAACTTAACGAACTGTGCATTCACCGACAATAAAGGCGCAAACTATAACGAGACCAACAGGCCGCTACAAGCCCCATTCATTGGAGATGAATATGTGCTTTCAGGAGGTGGGGTTATTTTGACTCTTAGCGTGTACGAATACAATGTCTTAAACGTCACACCGAGCCAACAAGAATCGTTCCAACACAAAAACAGCTACATCTTCTCGAGCTGCACATTTCTCGGAAATGAGGCGATCGGATGGAATATTAGTAGTATCTATGATCAGAAGAAGGATCCCGGTCGATCAGAATTTAGCTTAGGTGCAGGATTGGCGATAAATTTCAAAGGCAATGCCAGCGGCTGCAATATTCAAATTCAGTCTTGCTCATTTACTGATAATAGGGCTGTATGGGGAGGAGCTCTTAACGTTGAAATAAGAGATCAAGTGAAAAGGAATCGTTTCATGATAACGAACACTTCATTTCATGACAATTTTGGGAGACTCGCCGGCGGGGGAGTTCGGATTGGCAATTTACAAACACGGGCCACAGTGGACACTATGAATACATTTATCTTTGACAAGAACTGTGTATTCACAAACAACACAGCCATTTGGGGCGGTGGTGTGTCACTGTATGGAAGATCTATATGGGGCTCTTCCAATACGGAGACTCACTTTTTGGGGATGTTCAACCTTTGTATCTGGCGAGACAACCAAGCAACAGTGGGATCCGCAATAGCGGTCATGCTTGACAGAAAACAGGAAGTCCAGGTTGATTCGGGAATTCCAATCTCGATCAGCTTCAAAGACTGCACGTTTACAGGGAACCAAGTTGACGTTTTAGATGAAGGTGTTATGATAGGCGAAGGTGCATTGTACAGTGATGGGGTAATCCTTAACTTCCGAGGGAAAACTTTGTTTATAAACAATACGAACACGGCATTGTCCTTGGATGGGTCGGTGACAAAGATAAGCGATCATGTGAATTTTATCAATAATCATGGTTACAGAGGAGGGGCCTTGGCAATGCGTGGCTATTCAAAAATTATTTTTCAGAAGAATTCGACCTTATCTTTTTACAACAATTCGTGTGACCACAAAGGAGGAGCAATGTACATTGAAACTGCTGGATCTCCAATGGTGGCTTTCAACGCAACTGGTGTGGACATTCATGATTGCTTTTTTGGATACGAAGACGCACGAGACTTTCAATACTGGAATACTTCTGTAATTTTTCAAGGCAATGAAGCAGTTGATGACAGAAAAGGAAACTCAATATACGCAACAACTCTTAAAAACTGTCGGCGGCCTGGTGAGTCTCGGCAAGACAACACAGTGCTGAAATGGAAATTCATCCATTTCAAAACTTTAGATGGTAAGATTTCCTCGAGAAAGAACGAAGTAACAACTGATGCTGTAGACCTACTCTTTGATCCGAAAGATTGGGAAGTTGCTCCAGGAGAAATATTCAACGCAAGAGTCGAGTTAGTCGACGAGATAGGGAACACCGTCGTTGGAATTGTGGACATTGATATCCATGTTCCCGAAAAAGCACCAGCAGTTAAACTTGGAACTACCTCCACGGTCTTTCTAGCTGACGTACAAATATCCTCTCTGAGTCTGACTGGAGAGCCCGGGAGTGTGTTCACGGTGGTTATGCACTACATGGCAAGAGAACTATTACAGGATAGAATCGTAAACGTCTTTCTGCAGAGTTGCCACGCAGGCTTCTCTTATAACAAAACCACTCAGAATTGCGTTTGCATGAAATCTCCAGGAATAGCACGGTGTGACTTACATGACAAAAAGACTGTTTACCTGAAGAAAGGTTATTGGGCTGGGAAAGTGGGCGATGATTTCACAACATATCCCTGCCCCGACGGATACTGTACCACTCTGAAGTCCATATTTCCCGGCGAATACCAGTACATACCCAGAACCTTATGCAAAGATGGCAGAAACCAGACGAGTGTACTTTGTGGCCAATGCAAGCGTGATTACAGTATCATGTTTGCCAGCGAACAATGCTCACCCGATTGCTCTAATAAATGGCTATGGATGATTTTGGCCTATGTAATAGCCCTCATCATAGTTACTTGCTTCGTGTTGCTGGTTAATCCGAACCTGTCAGGGGGACACCTAAATGCTTGTTTGTACTCATACCAAATCATGAAAAAACTCACTCCAGAAGGGTTTACTTTCGATCCTATTATTGAATTTCTCATCGGACTGACTAACTTTCAACTTGGAGGTGGACGGGGCGTTTGTTTCGCGGCTGGTTTAAGCAATGTTGACAAGCTGGCCATATCGGCTCTCTTTCCAATCGCTGAAATACTTCTGATTTTGCCTTTGTTAAGACGGGTGTTGATTAAAACTTGGAGCAAGGGGTTGGACAGGCTTGTTAATAGACTGAACGACAGAGAGCGCTGTTGTTGTGGCTGTTTCTGTCGAAACGCAGTTGTGAGCTGGCTGGAGTTCTTCTCTGCCTCATTCAAAGCACGTATAGAGAATGGATTCGACCATGCCTTCTTCACCATTATAGTTTTGTGCTATGTCGACATAACCAACATTGCACTGCGTCTCTTGCATTTCGTCCAGGTTGGTGAGCGGTGGGTGTTGTTTGATGATGGTAATGTTGAATTCTTTGACAGCGTTTTGCACGGTATATTCGTAGTCGGTGCTATTTCCCTTCTGCTGTTCGTTATTTACATCCCATTGAGACTTGCAATCTACCCGCATAAGTCAAACTTGCGACTTGAAACTTTGCACGCTTGTCTCAAGCCTGGATATCGCTCTTTTGTGGCTTACTACCTTGTGTGTCGACTGGTGCTGCTACTAATAAGCACTTTCATGCCTACTAGCCCTCTGAAAACCTCATTGTTGCTTTTCTTTTGCATTTTCTTCATGTTTGTCATCGCAACTATAAGGCCTTACACAGAAAGGAACCATGGTGGCAATGGATACGAGGCTCCACAAGCGACAACTCAGAGTGGTAACTTTACAGAAGGAAGGCAAATATCTAAAGAAGCAAGTCCGTGCGTCAATGAAACACCAACCCCTCCACAAGAACTAACTCGTGTGGGTGTGGATGGCCACGAAATGGAAGAACAACAAATAGTGGCAAATGAAGGCAACGCTGAAGGAGATCAAAATCTGAGAGAAGATGCAGGGGGTTCCCAGAAAAACCTGTACATCAACGAGTCTGACCTGGTGATCTTAATGACGCTGAGTGCCATTGGAGTTTTCAGTCTTCCCACCAACACAGAGGTCTCCAAAAATACTAAACTTGGTCTGCGGTGGTGTGTTAGGATCTTGGCATACGTCCCTCTGGTGATGGCTTTTCTTCCCTACATCTTCTATTTACCACGCCTAGTACAGAGGTATCGCTATGAGAGAAGAGAGCATCAAGTAACTGAGCAACAGGATGTATCATTCATGCCGCCCGAGCGTAGCCTCGTATTACAGGAAGATCGGTCAGGTGAGAAAACTCCACTGATAAGAACCAGAGAAGATACAGATTCTGACCATGGTACAAGATTTCATACAGCCCACTCGAGCCTTCCAGTGTAGACGAGGTACGTCATAGTTCCTAAGATACTTAAACAACGTATACTTTACTTACTTCCCTTTAATCAAACGTTCTGTAAATACGTACAGGCGCCAATGTAGATGGCGGAGAAAAATGAATTGAGGAAAGCTGTGAGGCACCTTTTACGGGGGCAAAGAGGATACCTGCATAAGAGCTATAGATTAAGAACAACTTCACCATCCCTCTAAATCTGATTACTACACACGGCGCTTTCGACCTTTCTGATCCTTGCAGTACTTCATATGCAGGATATTTATCCCATACGAGCCTTTAATGAGCAGTCTGGGTCGTAGCTTGCTTCAAAGTTTTCTTACTTGCTGGTATCGGACTTTGCCTCCCCTTCCCAACTGATGACTTGAAAAAATTAAGTTATCTCTATCAGTCTTACCACGCGGCTGGGGTGCAACAGTGCTTGGGAGCGTGTGGAAAGAATGATTCATAACTTCTGGAAATCATTGTCGAGATCATTATTTTACTTGTAATGGCAGGTACTTTTGCCATTCTTCAGAGTAACGTATCTCATAGCTCACAAAAGAGCTCCGTGTGGCTCAGTAGCAAAGTAACGCCCCTTAAAATGGAAAGTCTGAGGTTCGAATCTTTGTTCGTTTATGTGACGATCGAGCTTGAAATTTGCTGTTTAATTTCTATCTGAGGAAGCAGTTACAGTAGGACTCTTGCGTAGTGGCAGTATCACTACATAATTACCTTCAATATTTTTGAAATATCTATACTAATTTTGATTTCCTCCTTTGTTTCCCTTTTTGTTGCCAGAGGTGAAATTGTACCTAGCTACGAATTTAGAAGCAGACGAGTCACTGATGTGCAACAAAGATTTGAATAGTGTCTATCGTAGTTGAAAAATAATTATCCCTGACCAAAACCATTGCGACGTTTGACTTTCTAATTTTGTGCTAATGCTTTTGTTAAATCGAGGACTCTTAATGCCATTTTTCCCCTAAAATTATGATTTCACGCTAAAAAACTGGGGTGATTAGAATAATATCATTTTCAATCAGCGATCTATTATAGCAAGCGTGACACAGTTACAGACAAAGCTTTTATATTGAGGTTAATTATAAATTGTTATTATGATGACGAGACTCACCAGAACTTTCATTAGGCTCTAGTGTAGTCAATCTATAAATTTCGATGATTGATTTGAATCCGTAATTACACGAAGCCACTAAGTTTACTGGCATTTAACAAGTTAGGTAAGAATTTAGCAAGCAATTTTTCCTCCACCTGAAGCTAGGTTTTCCTTTATCTAAGATATTTGACTTGTACTGTTAGGTTGGTTTATTAAAATCTCTACTTTATCTAAATAACAATTTCCTCTTTTATGATTGTTTTTTTTTTTTAACTTTGATTGGTTGATCTATGATCAGGGGACTCTTTTCGGCATTCCTATGTACATAGTACAACTCTTTCGTTATCTCTAAATTTATATTTTTCGTACTCTTTCAGGGATAACTTAATTAACCTTTCCTGTGTTGGGTTCCGTCCTCACCCTGAAGACTTCGTTCAGTAATCACTACGCAATGCTTGCCGTTTAGACAATCCCCGCGCCCCGCCCCCCTCTCCCCTCCCCCCGCTCCCCTCTCCCCTCTCCCCACTCCCCTCCCTCCGCTCCCCTACCCCGCTCCCCGCCCGTCAAAACATAAAAAAACGCTTCGGGCGAAGAAATGTACCCTGGTTGAGTTTCAATACATTTCAGCCGGGATTCATTTCGTCGAGCTCGAGGCCTAAACTTGGATTTCACTTTTAATGGCAAACTGTTTAAGATTATGTGTAAAATTAAGGCCCCCCATCAATATTAAAAAATTGAACTTGAAATCTTATCTAAACCAAAGCAATATGTGTCACTCACGGGATGTTTCACAATCACTTTGAAGTCAAAGTTCACTACAGCAAATTTTCACACGTTTCTCCAATTTCCGGTGTAACGCTAAAAAAAATGTCAGTTGTGAGTGGCACTTTGATAGGCAGTGAAATTGTTAAAGCGGATATGTCAGATTACCTAAAAGCTTTTCCTGCAAAGTTCGCACGCCATCTGCTGATCAAGAAAGTACCACGAACATCAAGACATATACCACTTCTAGATCAAACAGTCAGGGAAGGCATTATTTAAGTCCTCCGGCTAGCAGAGAAAGATTCATCACAGAGGTGAGAGAATTATCGTGTTTTTACGTAGCTTCAGTTTTCGCAAATATATGATCGGTGCTAATCGTGAAAAATAGGGACAAAAAAAAGCATACTGGTATGGCATTAATGTGGTGCTAAAAGCCTCGAAGTACGTCGTCTCTTTACGGTCGTAGATTTAGAATTTTAGCGTAATTTGTAGCCAAGAAACAGGCTCAGTGTAAGAGAGCAAAGTTTCTGTTCATAAAGATGATGTCAAGTATGTTTCTTATGAGATGACGTCAACTTAAAGAAACAAATGTCTTCACAGAACCAAACTTCTAGTTTACCTATAAACATTTGTGGTAAATATTTTTTGAACAGCAGCGTGTGAAAGCAGGCAAAGGAAATTTCAATAACCACATGACTTGCATCATTTAAAATGTGAAAAATCTAAGTGCAGATGTGATATAGAGAGTCCTTGAGTCGTCTGCCATAGCGCGAGGAAAGTTGTGCTGTCAGTTTAACAAATGAATCTGTTATCTTGCTGTTATCGAAACATCTGTTGGCGATCCAAGAGTACGATGTCCACATCGTCTTCGGGGACGGGAGTGGAATCATTTGACCTTCAAGATTCGTGATGCTTGCCTTTTTTTTAGCCCAATAATTTATTATTCTTAGATTTTATTTGTGATGTTTATGATCCATTTTCTAACCATATCTCGTGTTTCATAATTACCAAGCTTTAACCACCGAGCGAAAATCCATAATTCCTTCAAATTTTACCGTTATGATTCATCAGTGATTCACACTTCCCCTTCCACCCCAAAGTCTCTGGAGTTTCACTGATGCGTATACCACAGATTCTTAGCAATGGAAGCTCATGTCTCCAAAGTTTATTTGTTGGAAAAGAAGTAGTGTTGTAGAAATGTCTACAACGAAAGAACGCTGTTACTAAAATGAACTTAATATCTTTTTACTTTTGCCTTAAGTAAGCTTCATCTATGAAGGTATCTCTTCGGTAATTACTCGTAAAAATTCTAACCAGACGACCACAGTCACCTTTCTGACGTGTACTGAGAAGAATTTAGCCTGTGATGAGTCGTTGCCATTTTGAGGGACCGCGATCACGAAGCGGAGTTGGCGGGAAGGACTGAAACCCTGTCACACCATCGCTCTTCCCCGTAAAGAGACAGACAGCAGGTTTTTAAAAAAATTATGCTCTGCAAGCAACTTCGAGTCGGAAAACTGTGACATATGATTTTGAACTGAAATACGTAACAGTAGGCCGACGCTCCATGTCTGATGTTGTGCCAGATAAATTTGATGTTAAACATCTAGGTATCTTTGAATGCGACGTTCGGCTCTATATTAGGATTGGTCAGTGGGTCAGGTTTTACCACGGCATTTGCAAGATACCTTTCATTTCGTTCCTTTCCCCTACAGTCATTCCCGACGATACACAAGAACATATTCTGAGAAAAATCTTTTCATGAATTACTGATCGGCTTATGAAACCACAGGAAGGATATTCCCACCAGCGCTGTACAACTCGGGTCAAAGTTATCAAGTTGTCCGTAAGTAACACACGTTAGGTCGAAAGCGACAATTGAAAATCAACTGCTTATGCTGAAAGAGTCCCATGAGAGTAAACTCATCATAATTGGCCACTTCAGCAAAGAAAAGTGAGAAGAAAAGCCACTTGCTTTTTTTGCCAATAATGACCTCCCCCATCGAGTTGTCACCGGAAAAGCCGGTACACCGCTGAATGACCCTGCATCAAAGATAAAAGCCTGCGGTTTTCTATCCTTACAATCTAGATAGTCTAGATACTGAACAAAGCCTGAGCTATAATGCAAGACGGATAAACAGTTTTTATCTACCAGCGGTCGTTATGTTCGTTGAGTTAAGGATTCTTAACCCAATCGGATTTTCAGATCAAAATGGTCTAAAAGTTAAGTAAGCAAGCTCACGCAGAACTTCTTAGACTTGGATTTCCGTCCACTGTCGCTGACCCGAGGAAATCCTCAGAATACCAAATAAGGCTGCGAACTGAACCGACAGTAAATGTTCTAAAACAGACAAAAAAGGAACCTATTTGTAGTTTATTGGAGCACACCGCCTGACAATATCCTAGGCTTATTTCTGTCTGAAATATATGACAAACAACTCATAGCCTTTGCGACTGGCGGAAGTTTGGAAACTGATTACAAGCTCAGCGTAGAGTACTATACAGAACCCTTTAAGGTACGTTGAAATAATGACATTATAGCTCGCTCTGTTAAGAGTAGTTCTTGGATTTAATCGTGGAAAAAACAAAAAAGAATCAGACGCAGCTATCAGTAAAATTAATTGCAGAGGGTCTGGGGCAATTATTAATTTCAAGAAGCGACTGATAGCTCCAAAGAATTGGTAAGGCTGATTGCACGTGAACATATTTCCAAATCTAAACACAGGAAGGTGATCCTCGAGATTATTATTATGCCCAAGCAACTTAATGGTTCCTATTCGAATGTCTTGAAAATTTCAATGCTCCTCTTCATGCGTTGCAGTGAAATATGATTTGTAGCATTCGCTATTCCGGTTACATTCTGAGAAAGGACATAGAGCAGGCACGATACGACAATACAAACATGAGTCATACTTGATACGTAATTCAGATATGGTTATTAAAGGTGTTCGCAACATCTAATTTCAAGTAAAATTGAACCTTGAAGAGCTTTCTTTTACTCTCCAGTGCACTTTCGTACATTTACATGCTTGCAGTTGCCAGGCAGCTGCCGAAAGTCAACTATCATTGTTGCCGCTAACACGCGCTGTCAGTCTTGACCTCTCAGGTATGAATGACGACGGCGTCTAATTGAGAACCGCCAAACTTTACGTCTGATTTAAGCCGGCACAATATTAGATTCCCGAACTTAATAAACAATTGAGTCAATTAATCAGTTCACCGGGACGCAGTAGCGTTGGTATTCAACCGTGTAATACGAGATTTGTTGTTAAATAAATGTATTGAAGCGAGGCCTCCATTACACAACAAAGCCCTCTCTTATCAACTTGTAGTTTATTGTCAACGCAAGTATGCAATATTGCGATATCAGTTATTGCTGTAGACAATCTAATATGCAAATCTGCGGTGAACTCAGTTCCATAAATAAAGTATCAATGTTTGTTTTCACAACAGGGAAAACTTAGACGCATCGGAACATGAAGATGAAAACTCTTATAATTTACGTTTTGGCCACACTTTTGACAACAGAAATGATACAATTCCCGAACACAGCACATGCTGCCCCGAGTCAACGAAATTTCAAGAGCGAAGATGGTAAGATGATGCATCATTTGTAATATTGAGCAACGTCTAGCCTTCCTAATTTACTCGGTAGGAAATTTTGCTTTCTTTTAATGCGATTTTGGTGTTAAGGATTTACATACTTACTACACTCCTTACAAGTGAATCGTCAAGGGTATCACTGAACTATGAGTACGTGAGAAGCCTGCAGTTTTAAGTCATCATAGTTCTTTTAGCACCGCAGATATTCTTGAAAGATATCGAGTAAACTAAATAGCACATTAGAACAACTTTTTCAGTGAGAATGACCAGCAAAAAATAAAACGACCATCATATATTTGCTGCGGTTTTAAGCCTTCATGACTAAAAGTCGAGACATCTCAATTTGTTCCACACATCACTCATCAGTCTCGATAGTTTTGTTATGCACTGGAGTTCTTGTTTTTTTTTTGTTTTGTTTTTTTTTAAGCCACTAATTAATGTAGTACCTCATCATATCACGCCATTCGCGTATGGTTTTCTTTCGGAAGTACTTCTAGCGTGGTGAACAACTCCGCTGTCAAATTTAGTAGTGAGACCAATTTTAATCTGTCACCCCCGTAAACCACTTAGTTTCTGATGGATTTGTGTGGAATCTGACTCCAAACTTCCGAAAGATAGCCCTTGGTCATTAGTAACTTGTGTGTCTTCTCGACATTGATTGCGGTGACCTTTCAACACACGCATTCACTTTGAAGGATGTCAGTCTCAGCTGTATACAACTAGAACTTCCTATTGCCTAAAATTTTACTGCTCGATACAACCGTATAATAACAGTGGGCAATATCGGCATTTTCAAGAGACATGTTTATATTGGACATTTGTTCTGAAATGACTAATTTGTCTTACACAAGATATTACTTTTCAAGTTGATCAGCAGAGGGTACTGATTAAATTCAGAAACTGTATCTTCCATTGTTCACCTCGAAAAACAAAAAAGCAAGATCCGAAGAGAAATTGATGAAGGAGTTTACAACAACGATGAGTTACAAATATAAAAAAAATTAAAAAGATAAACATTCTTAAAAGGAGTGAGAGAATCAACACGCAAAAGAAAACATAAGATTCTTCTGAAGAGGGACGAAACGCATCGTGGCATACACAGGCACGTGCGTTTTCCGCGTTTGACGCCGCTGGCGGAATGTCAATGCTATAATTCTGATTGTTTTATTGACTCCAGCTGCATCTGCTCATATTTCATGAACCAAATCGAAAAAGACTTCAAAAGTCAGGGACAGATTTTGAGGGACATGAAGTCAAGTTTTTAGCGCAACATAAGCGAGTATTTGCTTCGCCGCCTCACCGACCTCAGACAATTCACCGGTGAAATACTAAACCCTGTTTTTTTTTTCTCACTACTCAGAGATAATAGAAGGTGACATATTAGTGACCGAACCTCTCAGACGTGCCATGAAGGCGGGCAACTCAAGGACCAGACGTGACATTGTTAGCAACAAGATCAAAAGATGGCCGGATGGTGTAGTGCCATACAAATTAGATTCTAGCCTAAGTAAGTGTCTTTGTGTCATGCTGCGTCAGATAGCGGCAGTCAACCACGAAGACTGAGTGGCCGCGCCTCCGAAGAGTCGGCCTAATAGTCGAGGTTGTCCTAATTTCCTTTAACCTGCTTTTTTTCAGGTAAAGAAGCTATCAAGGCAATTAAGGTAGCTATACGTGAGTTCCACAGAAGGACTTGTGTAAAATTCGTCCTTCACACCAACGAACAGGACTATCTGGAATTCCAAGGAAGTTACGGGTTAGACACATTTCTACAGACTTCTTGAGGCAAATAATTGCAAAATCAAAGTTTCCCAACTGACATAATTGTGGGCTATGACTCAAAGCTACAAGTCTTAGAAAAATTAACACAATGACTGCCACCTAGGCTCGAACCCAGACCCCTTGATACGAAATCGCAGAGCGTTTTCCCTTAAGCTAATTCGTACAATTTCTCCACGTTTTAGCTGCTTCTCAGCCATTGGCCGTCAGGGTGGAAAGCAGCGACTCTCTGTCGGTGAAGGATGCGAATATAAGGGAACAGTCCTGCACGAGATCATGCATGCTCTGGGATTCTTTCACGAACACTCTCGCACTGACAGGGACGACTATATCATGGTTCTATGGTGGAACATTGAGCCAGGTATTTTCGTAAATAAACCAAGTTTAATATGTTTTGGGCCGTTCCAGGAAACGTAGGTGTTGGGCACGAATGTCGAGGCTTGCTACTGGTAAACAACGCAGAAAGAATGACGTGAAATGACAAGCTTATTGTTTTGACGCATTTTTGTTGTCGATGTTAATGGTTTTCACAGTGTACACCTTGGGAAAAAAAAATTAGCGTTAGCCTCGACTTGATGTACTCGACCCAGTTTACTAGCTCCGTTCAAACAGATCCACTCTGGTGAATCAACCCTTTCACTGTTACCACTGACCAAGAAAGAACTTCTATTCCCAATATCCATGTATTTTCAATCACGACGTTGATGAATATCAACCGGAGGGTTATCCTTGACTTCACTACAAATTCTCAGAGCTAAAATAATACGAAATGTACGACAGACAATGCAAAGAACTGGAATATCGACTGTGAAACGGTTAACATACAGACATACAGCAATAATCTGACATCTGACACCTTAAGCATTTTTTACTTATTTATTTATGGGGGCATCCTAATGAAAAGACTTGGGGGGGGGAGGGGAGGGAAGGGTATTAACTGGAATATTAAAGACCAAGTGGATACGTTGTGACACATGAGAGGTTGCTTGTCCAGATTCCCATGGCGTCGGCATCCATCTGTTAAATTCTAATGATGTGTGGGTTTCATTTCTCGAAGGATTCGAAAAGAATTTCGAAAGTTACGGTCCTGAACGACTTGACAGTGTCGGAGAACCGTACGACTTCGACAGTCTTATGCACTACGACAACCAAGCTTTCAGCAAAAACGGCCAAAACACACTGGAGTCTTTAGCGAATCCTAACAGATCCTTGGGGAATATGGATGATTTTAGCAAAATTGACATAAAACAGCTGTTAAAGAGTTACCCCTGCAAGGCTGGGGATAAGAAACCAAAAGACAAGAAGAAGGAGAGATCACCAGAGAGTAAGAGCGTTTTTTTTTTTATGCTATCCGACAGGGTTTAACTACACTACACGAGCTAACTCTCCTCTCTTTCAGCTATCCGACTCATCGTTGCCGCAAAAAAAAAATTATATATAATGTACCAAAAGTTAGTCTGTATATTGTTCGCTAATTTGTACAATAAACAGTCGCAGTGGGACGGATCCAACAGAAATTACAATGTTTGCTGTCCCCTGTATGAAATATTCTGTTCAATTGAGTATACAGAGTAACCTTGGATTGCGTTGGTTTTATTTTAACTTTGCTCTCTAATTGGCTCAAGAAACACGCTCCACCCTCTCCACCAATCAAAATTAGGTCTTGGACATTTCATCAACCGCGTTTTCCCGCGCTTCAGGCGGTTTACTTGTTTTTACTCCGTGTTCTCATTGGCTTCTTCCGATATTTTCCTTTGTTCTGATTGGCCGTAAGGATAAGTTGTGGTTTTAATTTTACGACACTGAAATAAAATGCTCTTATTAGAAAGAGAGTTGACGGGTCATTTCTCTTCCAGGTAAATGCCTTGATGTCTATCAAAACAGATGTAAATATTTCGCATCTTACGATGGATATTGCCAACATTGGAAGTCGTTCATGAAAAAGTGGTGTCCCTATTCCTGTGGCTACTGTAAAACAGAGTCGCCTGGTGAGCTAAATTGCAGTTTTACCCTATCAAATATCGTCTAATTATAGCTTGTGAACAATCCTTAATTTGTGTTTTCAGTGTACTGCCTTTTCAAGGAGAACTCATCTTCCTTTGTCGATATTGCCAAAGCTGATGGCTTTAACAACCAGTATGAGACAATCTAGGACTTCGTCGACCGCATGGAGTTGCAATTGCGGATTTATCAAGCTGTTTAAAGCTTACCACATACAAAGTAAAAGCCTGACTCAGTATCGAATTCTATAAAGCTCAGTTGTGGAGTATCGAATCACGAAATTACGCTCACGAGATCCAGAGGCCTGGGATTAAATTTCTCTCCAGAGAGACAAACCCTTTTTTGCTGTTATTTTCTGTCCCCCGCTCCCAAGAAAATGAATAAAATCTTTCTATCCTGTTTCAAAATACGCGGAAAAAACTTGTCTGATTATTTCCTCAGTCGAAAAATCACTTTTGATTTAGGAAATATAAACATTTCTCCCGCAAGTTCCAGAAAGTTTCTAACTGACAATTAACCCCACTGAATTTTAGATGTTCATGTACTTCAATAAGAAAATCGTAGAGCTAAGCTTATTCTTTTTTTCTCAATTCTTTTCACTCACAGATAAAAGGCTGAATATATGGAAAGGAGAAAATGACACAAAGTGAAAGGCTCACTGGTTAGAGTGCATTTCCATTAGGTGTCGTGGAACCAACCTCACCTCAGTCGAACAGAAAAAAGAAACTACCACAAGGGGCCCTGGAGAACGCAAAGGAAAAACAAAAAAAAATGCCTGACGCGCGGGAAACGCGAGTGACGCAAGTGCGATTAGTTTTGGTTTTGCGTCTGATTGGTCGAGAGGTTGGCGCGAGTTTCCTGGACCAATCACAGAATGTCTGAAACGTCATCAGCACTGTATATCTAGCAAAAATTATACTCGAGCAAATAAGAACCAACCATACTAGCAGAGTTTGAGTGATTGTCTTTCGTTATAAAAAAATAAATAAATAAATACACAACACATCAAGAAAATTTCAGCGTACTTGAGCTCAATTAATTAATTTTTGGTTCCTGGTTCCTTGTAGTAGAGCTGCAGCAATGATATAAGATGCAATTCTCTGCAACATAATCATGGGCTTATTTGTACAGCATTAAAAGACATCTCTATAATTCTTCATTATTATTCTCCCCTTGTGACTTGTTGTTATATTCATTCTATGAAAAAAGGTTTACTTTTACGGGAGTTTTTGAAGCCTAGCTTTCAAATAAATTCTCTACTTTTTCAAAGAAAAAAAAGGAAAGTTTGCAACATGTTTGATTTATTTGCAATCAGTAGGGCAATAGTCACTTACAGTAACTCAACTAATTTTTTTTGTACATCACTCAGTCTGACAGAATTTCTCCATTCTTTCTTCATTGACTTATCCAGTTTGGTAACTGAAGCTTACCAGCTGTAGAGGTTTATTGATTCCAATCTTCCCATGTGCCTGCCTTCAGTTAGCTATTCCCTGGTCTGATTGGCAGGTGGCTCTCAGAGGAATACAGAGAAGAATCAAAGGGAAGATAACCTCTGCAGTTCAGTGCACCACATTGACAACTTTTTGGCTCCTTCCCTTGTTCTTGCAGAGATTTCAATTCATGCACTTCAACTTTTATTTCATGTGAGTGCCAGTGATCAAATTCCCCTGAATAGTCAAAGGAGAGTTCCTCTCCAATGTCTATATTTCTAGCTGCAAAGAGAGCCAGTTGTGGAACAATGGAATCAACTCTCACTGGTACCATTACCAGATTAGGGTTGCATGAATGATTGATAAACCGCGATGCGCCACCATGGAAATGAGCATCTACATGAGTTCTTAGAATTTGGTTGACATTTGAACTGTGTTCTCTGAGAACAATCAAATAATTCCCAGTTTCATGAGTCAATTCCTGAGCACGCATTTTAGCCTCTTTGATTGAAATAAGCTCACCAGCATATTCACACACAAAAGTAAATTTTTTTATGTTTTCCAAAGTCCTTAAGCCCCATCCTTTGAGTTTGGTTTTAAAAACTTGAAGTTGAAGATGTTGTCCATTCTGAACCACTCTGTTCTGACAAGATTTGGAGCAAGAACAGCGACTGTTGCATTCAAACACTGGTTGGCAAAACTCTATTGACAATAAGTCACGAAAAATAAAACTTGATGAATATTCTCTAAATAATTGGCACCTGCATTTTAGCTCAAGTACCACTGATCTACCTTTTTTTTCTCAGAGTTTTAAACAATCAGCAGTCAAGTATCTTCTGGCCAGATACTTTATTTCTACCTCTGCTGTACATTCTATCAGAGAAAAGAGTTTTATCTTATCTATGAGACCAACAGTTTACTGGGTTCCTGTCTGAAACTTAGAAGCCCATTGGTTAATAAGCTGTGGTTACTGAGTTCAAGCATGGAAGACACTTAACCTTCCCAGTGACTTTTTCTGCCTAAGAGTACAAACATGTCCTGGTGAAATGTCAGGGAAACCAGACAAAACACTGAGTAGCCTGTCATGCCCAAGTAACTATTCCAGGAGTAGTAGTGATTCTCCAAAATGCTTTAATTACTAAGCATGGAAACTGGATTGTATTATTCAGAATTTTCCAAAGAACTTAGCCTCATGTGTCTCTGGCAAGTTCCCCTACTTAGATCTTTACAATCCATAGAATCTTAGCAAAGACCATTTTGAAGATCTTTCAAATCCTCAAAGGATCATTAATCCATTGATTTTTTTCAAAGAGCTCTTAGCAGATCCTTTCTTGATCCTTTTTATTTAAGATCACCAAAGGTCCTTTAATTACCCTCAAAATATTTTAGGTCAAATTAAAACTATAAAATTATAACTTCTTCCCAAAAGACACTGATCTTTGAGAACTCTGTGAGTCTGTAATACTTACCAGTTAGTCGATTGAAGATTTGAAGGCATCCATCTTCATTGTAAGACGGTCCATAACTCTGTATGCAGGGGCATTTGTCTCTTGTGCACATTGTCTGATGACATCCACATCCAGGATAAAATGGAGAATTAAATGCCTCACTAACATTTGGCCCACTGATGCATACTGGAGTATACTATGAAGAACAACCCCAACAATTTAAACAAAATTAAGAGAAAACAACATCGATAGCTACCAATTATCCAATTTCCTTTTTGAAAAGAAGAAAGATCGTAAGTGCAAGATTGATTAATCTAGTTAATAAGAATGGTACACTTAACAAATTACCCCAAATTCGGTAGGTATGCTGTCATCAAGTTCATTTACCACTGAAACTTTAACTTTCTCCTTTCCCAGCGATATGTCCTCTGTTATGACAACCATTTTAAAATAATAGCACTGGATTATTTCTTCGACAATACACTACTTTCAATAATAGAGGCTCTTTCCATTTGTACGGAAAAATCGATGCAAATTTCCCATTGAAGGGAACAGCACGATTGTTACTTGAATTGGAAAGAACTTCACATGTGGGAGCCTGGATCCTACCATATCCCGGCAGGCCCTCGGCTGGCAAAAACCGTGCGTTTATGGAGCATGAAGCGAGTAGGACGAGCGTTCGGTAGGTACTGTAGGTTCGGTAGGATATTCGGTAGTACCGATCAAAACAAAAAAAAAACAAAAAACAAAAAAAAAACAAAAAATATATATATATATATATATATATTTTACATGGTACAAATACAGGGAAAGTGCCATTTCATAAAAAAAAAACCTGATGAAAAAAGGAAAGAAGGAGAGAGAATAAAAATTCGTAGCAATATATATGAGCAGGCACTGGGCATGAGACTAAAAGCCGCTGACAAAGCTTTGTTGCTATAGCAACCTTATCAGGATGCAAAATTAAAATGGCGAATAAGGAGAACGATGCCCAAGAATACGTTAAAAAGCATTGTATTATGGAACTATTTGAGAACTTAACTGCACAGTTGATCTATGAAAGACCAGGTGAATAATTTACACAGCTTAGGATTGATGTTTTGGCAACAAATCTGGCAATGTGAATGAAAAATATTTGGATATTCAACAATATGTCGTTGGGAACTTTATTACATGTATATGTAACTCTGCTTGTTTGTTTGACAGAGGACCCGAAGGCTTACATGAAACAATTCTTGGAGAAATTAAGAGATGCAAGAACAATGCAGAGAAACTACCCTTGCATATTTGATGACAGTAACGTAAGATCGTTGTTTGGAATGCTCGATGTTACAGGAAAAGGCTTTATTACATATGAACAGTACAAACAAGGTCAGTTTTTCTTTTATTTTACAATATCTGTTTAACTCATGTCATCGTACCTTATTCCATTGCATAGAATTTATAAAGTTTTATCCAAGGATCTTGGAGAAAAACTTTTTTTTGAATTGAAAGAATGAAATCATCTAAAAGTTCAATGAGATATTTACAGGAGGACGATGTTTTTGCACACGATCCTGTAAAGTTTTGATGCCGTTAAACTAATAGCAAGCATTGTCAGTAGCTTACAGCAATTGCCTAATTTTCTTGAGATGCTTGCTAATCAACAGCTGTTTGCAGGGCGTAAAATCGCGCCTTATACAGGCGCCAATGCGACTAAATTTTTCCCTTTGGCGACCAAATCCTGAAAATTAGTCGCCAAATTGGCGACTAGAATGTTTCATCATAACCTTACCACGAGATATCGTGAATTAAAAAGATTTGCAAAGATAAATCCGCGGCAAACTTCCTCGTTAAGTTTGTTTCCAAAACGCAGCACATGCATCTCGATCAATAACTAGACGCCATCTTGAATTTAGGTGAGCTTGAGAGTTGTATATCATCCCTCCTAGTGTCCACTTTGTAGCACGTTAAAGATCTTTCCCCTAACTTAATTTGGAGGGTCTCTCTAGAGCGCTGACAGCGTAAAAAAAGGTTTTGTTTGTCTTTGAAAATGGCGACCAACTTTTTTTGAATTGGCTACCACTTTGAAAAATTTAGGAGCCAAGTGGCTATCAGAAAAAAAAATTAATTTCACGCCCTGGTTTGTGAAATGAGCTCACTCTTCTTAACTCTTTAACCCCTGTGAGTGACCAAGACTGAATTTCTCCTCACAAAATCAATTCAAGATCAAGCAGAAAAGTAACCAGAATAAAGCAAAAGCAAATTCTCTGAACTAACATCGTAAGAATCAAATGGAAGACAATGAGGAGAATTACTAACAAAATCTGGGAATTGAAAGTGTTTAAGGGAGTGAGGACCAATTTGAGGGAGTGGCACAAATCAAGCATACTAAACTGCAGGCTTCTAATAAGGTATCTAGATAGTTTATACACCTTATTCTCTGTTGTTTTTTAAACAGGACTTGAAACAATGGGTGTGAAAAAGTTTGATAGAGATCCTCCTGGTGGTGATATGGACAGAATCAGTGCAGAGACATTTTTGAAAGAGGCGTAAGTCAGCTTATATGAAATTATAGCTACTGTAAGTAAACTTCAACAGAACTTGTCAAAGTTGGTTGTAAGGGATGAAAATTACAGTTTTGAAGGAAACATGGTTTTTTTGTTAGCAACTGTAAATTTTATTAAGATTATTTGATTGATTTTTTTTCAGGCGACAAGGACTTGCTCAGGCATCTGCAACATTCTCTTTGTAGTGCTATATAACTCTCCTTTTGTGGGTTTTTAGTTTGTGTTGTCTGAGAGATCAACAACCTCTTTGTCCACATCAGATTAAATGTATATATATTGTGTAAATACCACCATCACATCATTACTTGAACTAAAGTGAAGAACCCAGTTGTTTTTGCTGTGTGTCTCTTAAGTAATCAATTTAGGAACAGATTTGAAAAATAAAGAAGTGAGCGACTCTGGCTATGAGTCAGTTTCTTTAGATCTCAATGGTTCTACAAGAAATTATGAAATTATTTTATGGTAAGATAAAGGTGGACTTTTACAATGTGGTACTTCAAAGTCATTTATTGACTGAAAAGTTTATCAGTTGTTACAAAACAGTACATTTTCCATCAGAACTTGTAAACTACAGCCTGAATAGCTTTTTGAAACCATCATCACTTTGTTCAGATTTATAGCTGGGTTGTGAGGTTTTTAAACTTAAAATAACACTTAACAATCAATAGGCATGCAAGTTTGCATTTCTTTGCACACCATGCATGTTGATGAGGCACAGGTCAAGTAACAATATTGATAGGTGGAACAAACAGAGCTGGAGCAAGAACGCTGATGAATAGGCTTTCCATTGTCACCTGAAATCCTGTCTGAAACATATTGCAACCATTAACATACAATAATCATGGTGAAGACCAATACAAATTAATTTTGTTTTGCAAAGCTTTAACTATTACAGTTGAGAGAGAGCAAATGGGATTTGTTGACCAACCATTGGTCAGTTTCTGTGATTGACTTGCTTAAACATTGAGCGAGGTACTCAGTAATCAAAACTGATTAACAGTCCAACTGGCTGGTTGAGTAACTTACATTTTTAATGATGGTGTGGCTGGCTGACTAATCCATTGATTGTTCAGTTGGTTGATTGGTGGACTAGTATATTGACTGATTGACGAATTGCCTGATTGCCTGACTGACTGACTGACTATCTACTCTATTTATTTGACTATGAGCTGAGCTCATAGGCGGGCCAGCAGACTGACTGATGCCTTCCACCCAATTAAAAAGGCTTATCTTTCAGTATCAAGACTGACTCACAAGTCTCCAGATTAATTCTTTATAGTTATATGATTTTTCATTTACCTTCATCAGCAACTGCTGAGATGGAAATGGTATCTTTAGCAGGTTCACTGTGGTAAATAGGAAAACCTTCACACATTTTCTTCATGGCGTAGCTAAGATCACCCAGGTCATATATCAACTCTTTAGTTTCCATGGTAATTGTCAATTTCTCCAATGGAAATTCCTTACCATCCATTGTTGCCTAGAGAAAGGAGAATTTTCAGTGTGACACAAGTAATTTTTTTCTCTTCAATTTTTTCACTTGGTATAAGCCAGAAAATAATCATAGTGAGTATGTCACCTTTCTAAAGGATTTGGCCATCTTGGTAGGGCGTGGCACTCTGCCAGTGAGCTTTGTCAAAAAGCACATTTGTTTCTGTGGTAAGCTGATCATCATCAATTTCTGAAACACATAAAACCGTTTTAGAAATTATTAGGCCAACAATCATCTGGAGTTCTTTTGCTCAACTGATATCAGGAAATACCTGAAAGGAACAAGTCACTGTAAATCTTCGTCAGAGAAAACGTGCCCAAATGGGTTTACCAGAGGAATGAAGCGCTCGAGGTAACTTCGTAAATTCTTAAAATATTTAATCGGTCGTTTAGTTTACCTCTTGACCAATCAAGCGCACAACTAAATTCAATCTCATTCAATCGCGTTTTTCCGTGCTTTAAGTAGTTAAGTTGTTTTTACTGTGAGTTGTCATCGGTCACGTGACATTTAACTTCCTTCTGATTGGTCATTGTGATTTCTTTAGTTTTCCTATTATGACACTCAACCAAAAATGAGTTCTATTTCTATTTTACTGATTTCGATGTCATATCTGGGCAGTGGCTTACCTTACGAAAATCATTAATGATTTCCGCTGCTTCGAGGTCACCTTGCGATGGAACGTGAAATGTTTCCGTTTTCCCTTTAACATCGATCTCCACAACCTCCTTGAACATTTTGCCTTGATGTTTGATCAGTACTTCGAATGATCTTTTCTTTCCCTGTGTGGGATGAAACTAATAAAAAAAGAAAAAAATACTTGAAAATGGAATGTTTACCAGGAAAGTCACAAAATATCTCAGTTCTTGTGACTAGACCGTAAAAATTCAGCTGTTTGATGGCTCGTGTTCATAAAGAACAGAGATTTGAAATCGGCCTTCCCGGTTGAACGCACTTTTCCAATGGTTTATCAGGTTTTCAATGAAATGACATTACTTTTGTCTCCAGTATAAGTTGGCTTGATCATTTTTTGTTATCTTAATGCATAGACTTGATTGTTTTGGAAAAAAAATATCTGACTTTTGAATTGTTCTTCAGGCTCAAGACTCACTGTTTCATACGTTGTGAAATTCGTTTTTGTATGATAATGGTGTTCAGGATTTTGAAATTGAAAATTATCTGAACATCTAAACTAGTGACTTCAAACGAGCTTACTCACTCGCAAAACTGCTGCACAACAAGAAAGAACTACGAAGCCCACTGAGAATTGCATTTTCGTTCTCATTTTTCTCGATCTCTCCCTCTACACTTCTCTCGGCTGATAGATTTTACTCTGCACAGGGCGATCTTAAAGTTATTGGTGGTTTTATATTTGATTTCTCTCGTAATGAACCCTCACATCACTCAAAAAGTTAATTTAAGTAAACCATACGTTCACTTGAATCGCTATTAATTACACAACCAAAGAGCCACAGCAAAGTTTTGAACGTCAGAGAAACTGCAATGAAAATCTCAGAGAAGCTAAGTTCCCTTAGGAGTTCAGTATGAGCTAGAGGCGGAAAATCGTTTTAACTAGGTTGTCATACCCACAATCGCTTATAGGGCGTGACCCTGATTCATTTTTCAATTAACAGCTTTCAAGTGTTTTTTTACCATATTTTTATTAAAACAATAAAACTTTTTCCTTTTCTTTCCTACTTTAACACAGGAAATTCGCAGCCTCCTTAAGTGCTTTATCTTGGTCAAAAGAAATGTAAACTTTTGCAAATTTTGACGTGAGCGATTCCAGCGAAACTCTCGGTGATCGCATCCTCTCTTTTGAAACGCGAAATTATTAGATTTAGTCACTGTTTTTGTGTCCCAAATTGCTCTGTTGTTCGTGGTCAACAAAAATTTTCATGTCGTAGGGCTTTTGAATTAAATGAAAACTGGCTTCAACCCCGAGACGTCTGATTTCAAATTTGTGTCAGGAAATTACCTCTAAGTATCATTTTGGAATTTGTTGACAGATTCCTTTGTTGAAGAGGACAACTTTCCTCAATTTAGATGCTTCATTGTAAGCAGTGAGAAAACAAAGTGTGAAGACTGAGTTATTCTGATTGACTGTGAATATATGAAAAGTTATCCTGTCCATGCAATAGTTCAAATTGTTTTTTGTTTCAGTTCATAAGGAAATTCATGGAGTGTCATGGAAAAAGAAAATAACCCTTTAGCTAGGGTTAGCTTTAGTAATGGTGTGTCAAACCAGTGGATAAAACACTTATCGAAATGAAAGATCAATAAAGAAATCTTACAGTTCTATCAAGCTCCATTTCTCAGCCAACTATTCCTCTTTCGGACCATCCTTTAACCTTGCAATCGTGATGACTTAATTCCATTACTAGTATCTTTTAAATCAAAAACACCCCCCTGAAAACCAATCCGGTGCCAGTATGCGTCATATTTTTCTTAGCCCACGTATAGGCGTACCCTCCCTCCCATGTTTAACCATGGGGGGAGGGAGGGTACGGCTACGCGTAGGCTGTAAATCAGTTGTAATTTGTTACATTGTGATGTATATTGTAACTAATGACGATTGAATTATTGTCGGTTCAGCAAAACAGAAATACCTTTTTTGACATTCAAATTATTAAAAAAGAATGCCTGACACAAACCTCAACCCACAAGATGAAGGGAGGGGAGGGAGAAGTGTGGCCATGGATAGAAGCGGGTGGAATAATGAATCAAGAATCGTAGCATTGAATGAGACGAAATTATAGTCATGCTATAATCTCTCGAAACTCGTATTGTATTTAAGATCGTTTTATCTAATGAAACAGTCGATTTGGATATTTTTTTTCTTCACTGGCTTTCATTGGCCACCAAAATGGCAGACCGTAAAGATGCCAAGTTGTACTGAGCTTTCTGTCGTAGATGATTAGCGCTTGAAGAAACAGTTATTTAGACGTATTGCAGACCTGTTGTATGTTGAGAGTCTGCTTTTAGCATATATTAAAATTTAAAACTGTGTTTTTAACGATAAAAAACGCGAACAGTTTCTTCTTACACGAGCGAGGTTGGGAAAATTTAAAATGAGAGAACCTTGGGCTTCTTGAAGTGCTCTTTAATGGGAGACAATCTGGAATAAATTTCGAGTGGCTAAATTGATTCCAGATGCATGCAAGCCCTTTTTCTGATTGTGTCAACTATTGTTGAAAAAAATTTGCTAACGTGGGTATAAATTAACTAATTTTAACGCCACGAAGAGATCGTGAGTAACAAAAAAAGTTGTGAGTAACTAGGTCTTGTGATTCTCGCGAGCAGCTCTGAAAGTTCTCGTCAGAATCTAAAAATAGAAACAGCAAGGAGTCTGGACCCTGGTCTGGACCTGAGAAAATTAAATTCAAGATGGCGAAAACCGGGTCAAAACAGGTTGAGTTAAAAATATCGCTTTTGTTGTCATGGTTGAACTACCCACGCAAAAAAAATGCTCGTTTAACTTGATCTGTAACTGTGATGTAATTATCGCCGGCAGCTACTGTATATAAACAACGCTGCTGGAGAAAATAGACAGATCTTTTCGGTGAAATCGATCGAGTTGAGTCGAGAAACGTATGGCGGACGGAGATGCAGATTACTCTCCGAAATTGGCAGAGAATCTTTTAGAAATTTTTCAGTCGGACCGATTCGTTACTGAGTGCTTTAAGGAAAGAAACCTTAAAATTTCTCAAGCGTTGTGTCTGCTATGGCATGACCAATCGACAGGCGACGTTCCTGGAAGGAAGGCAAGTGCGCCTCATTTTGGAAATATTTCGGCAGCTGTTATCATCGACTTGTACGTTCTTGGCAAAGTCAGTTTTGAAGACGCACAGGCTTCCTGTCTGGGTGTGAAGTATAAGGAGATGGTTCTTCAGGTGAGGGAAAATAAAATTATATTTTTATTGTGTGATTTAGAATATCAAATGAAAAGAAAGGATTGATTAAGGTTAGTTCGAATATCGATTACAACTACGTTGTAAAGTACACTAAATTATTCGGAAAATTCCAATGATACTTTCCTTCCCCTCCCCCCTCTTCATCATTGTCGTGCAGAAGATTTTCGGGGGGGGGGGGGGGGTCTGAAAGTGTTGTTCCATAGGTGATGGGCAGGTCTGAAAAAAATTACCGATCAGGTCTCAGAAAGTTTTCACTGAGGTGGGCAACTTTTTTCTGAGGGGAGGGGTGGAAGGGAGTTTACAAGCATTACATAAGCACTTGTATCCTCTTTCTTATTAAGAACTTGTGTGAATAGTGTCATCAATGGGGCTGGGGGGGAGGAGTGGGAGGGGGTTGTTACTACCCTAGAGTTTTATAATTCATTGATTTTAAAATTATATTTTTATATTTCTGTTTCTCCAAAGGTGAAAGATTTCACACCAACAGACTCTTACTTAGACAACTGTATGTTCAACCAGATTTTGGAACGCACTCGTAAACATCCTGACAAGCCACGCAGTGTGTCTAAATGGATACTGAAAGGTTCAAATTACCACAAGCCAAGCTGTGTGTCGGCTACATTTGACAGCCTTGTGGATCTTGGGTTAATGAAGAAAGAGCCCAGGTTACTGGGAACTTCTGTTAGGTATCCAGTCATAAATGCAGGTACAAACATGAATTTTTATTTCCCTTATCCCTTTAACTCCCAAGATCTAATAAGTAATTCTCCTTACTGTCTGCCCTATACTTCTTGTGATGTTAGTTTGGAGAATTTGGTATTAGATCAACCAATAATCCCCTACTTAATATTTTTCTTTATTCTCATCACTTGTCTGCTTGATATTGTACTGATATTGTAAGGAGAATTTCTGTCTTGGTCACTCATGGGAGTTAAAGGGTTACATGATGCCAGTATCAACTCTCCTCATTTCCTTTCCTACATTTCTTACAATATGGCAGACACAGTGGCCTACTGATCAGTGCATTGGACTCCGGGTCAAGAGGCCTGGGTTCAAGACCTGGCTGGATCAATGCATTGTATTATTGGGAAAGACACTTTCCTCTCACAGCACCTCTCTCTACCCAGGAGTCTGAATGAGTTCTGGCAAAATGTCAGAGAAGCCTGATAAAATCCTGGGGGGTAACCTTGCATTGAACTAGCTTCCCATCAGGGGGGAAGTAGTAATACTCCTCATTGCTTCATGCTACATGGAAACTGAGATAAACTCTGGCTTTACATTTCTTACAATGTTTGTGAGGAGAGCTTCATGTTTTGTCTTATTCCTTGGTTATGTTTTTCTTCCTTCTCATTGTGTGTGTGCTTCATGATGGATTTGATGGCATAAAGAGAAAATACTTACCTGTCAATTGTGGCAGAGAGAGCATTAGCCATTATCATCTGATGTAAAGTGGTGGACTAAGACTGATCTTCTTTGACTTGTAAAGAGGAGGCTCAAATTAGATGGTTGCCATTTGTGGGATTTGGTGACAACTTCCCTAACACAATTTTGAATTCTAACCCTTGAGATATTCGACTTAGGATGCTCTGAAGCGAAGTCAGTATTTTTTAACAGCTCACCTTTTATTATCAAAATATTACTCTTTGTATTAAGATAAATTATTTCCAGACTGAGCTGAAAAGATCATCGGTTGTGTGTTCTTGCAATTCAAAAAATGGTCAGCTCAACTCACAAGATTTACAATTACCTCATTTATTAATTTAAATTTTGCATTTTTTTCTGATGTCAGTAAACCCTCTGCAAGGGTGTGACTGAACCCCCAAATCCCCCTTAGTCTACCAGTACTTCTTCCAAAATGACTTCAAAGTGGAATGCTTTTTGTTTTTTTTTATTTTCCAGTGCCACAGAATGAACTTGTTAAGGAAATACAGATGATTGCACTAGCAGGACATGCAGTAGATGGCTTCACCTGGACTCTTTTAAAGCTGGCCCGCTTTTCGGACTCACTGTATCTTGGAGGGGCGCCAATGCTTAAACATCTCTTCCACAAGAAGGAGTATGAGCAAGCAAAGAAAAACATTGAAAAATTGGTTGAGACTAAAAAGGAGAATGCAAAGAAAAGAGGTTGGAAAAAAGACAAGGATTTAGAATTCTACAACTTGTGTGAAATTGAACAATAATTTTTGAAGAAATATTGAGACTCAGGGGTTTGTATGGAGTCTGATATTCTCAAGGGAATATGGAAATCTAAATATTTTCAGTGACTTGCGAAAGATGTTAAAATGGAGACTTGGCCTGCTTGAAAAAGGAAAAACTGAGAGATTTTTCATTTGGATAATTGATGAGACTGATATTTGTCAGCCAATAAACTTTATATCAAGCATCTCAATATCAGTCTTCACAAAAAAATACAACTATCAGGTCTTGCCATTAATTTGGCTGAACAAAAACAAACAAGATGATTTGAGCAGAATAGAAGACTGCCTTTAAGTCAATTAATTCCAAGTTATGCATTTCAGCCCATCATAACTGCTCTTTTCACACTGT